CTTGCAAAATTCATAATATAGTTTTATCATACGTTGATCGGCACGAAACAAATAAGGGACTATATTCATAAGAAGCTCCCACAAACTATGGCTCATGAGAATAATTATGAGGCTGTTGAGCCATTTTCGAAAGTTCATTAGAATCTTTCGAGCACAACTCTTACGAGGCGAATCAGATAGGTTCGTCTTCGATTTTGATGAACTTTCACATAATGAAAGTGGATAGAAAATTAGGAGACAGGTATTTTTTCTTAGGTTCAAACACTTGACGGTTTTTGAGAAAATTGGTTATTTTGTCAGAGAAAAAAATTAATGGTAGTTGAAGAACTTACTCATATGCTGCTTTGAAGCAATTGAGTTCGTAATGTACCGATTAAGGCATCAGTGTACCGTTTTTGCACCCCATGTTCAAATCCATAAACGATTTTTTTTCCTTATTCTTCTTACTCTTTATTGCGAATATTATAAATAAACGATAGACATATTTTTTTTATTACACAGCAAAGTTTTTTTTTCATTTGGCCAGTTCAGACTTGATACGAAAATTATTATTTTTTCGCAAAATTAATTATATGTAGAATATGAATCATTTCTAAAACAATTCTTTGAATAACTTTGCTTGAATATTTCAAATTCTTTTATTAGAATCGGTTGCTGTACTGCAAAAGCTGACCTTTCGCATACTTGTTCCCAAAGACATCTGAGGAGAAGCTGTAGACACGTATCCAATATATGTAATTCTATAATATGCCTTATTAACAAATTATAATAAGTAATTATACATATGTAATGAAAAAAAAAGCTTTGCTGTATAATAAAAAGAGTATGTCAATCGTTTATTTATAATAAAGAATAAGAAGTATAAGAAAATAAAAATCATTGATGAATTTAAACACAGGGTATAAAAATGTTAACGCTGACGTCTCAACTACTGTGTCACTAAAGTGAGTTACTCATAAGTAGTAAGAGTAAGTTCTTCAACTGTGATCAATAGTTTCTTTCATAAAATAATCGATTTTCTTGAAAAGCGTCGAATGTTTACTTCTAAAAAAAAGTACCTGTCTGCTAATTTTCTATTCCCTTTCGCTGTATGAAAGTTCATTAAAAAATTGACATTAAAAAATCGACGAAAGCTGGATGAAAATTATTGTTTATATTTAACGCGTCTTATGAGCTATGTGATATTTAACTTAATATACTATTGTTTAAATATTATCTCATCATACTCCGAGTACATTGTAAATTATTTGAATATTTAGAAAATCATGGGATCTGTAAGATGATTAAACGTAACAATAGATAGTATTTCGATCTTTAATCCTCGGAATACATAAAGAAATGATCGACGAAAAAATTTATATTATTTATAAAACGTGTTAAGAGCTATTTAATGTTTAATGTATTATTATTTAAATATTAGTTTAATATATTTTCAGTATGTTATACATTGTTTAAATAATTATAAAATTAGCATTAATTATAAAATTAGTATTAATTTTTAAGTTTTCGCATTTAGAAAGAGAGAGAGTTCCGATATCTACTTGTCGAAATCCGTAAGAGAACTGTATTTCAATAACAATCAAAGTCAATAGAAAGTTTGTTTTTGTTAACTTTGTAAAAAGGTAATGATCGTGCGTTTCGATATTTTACTCCATTTAAATATTTATTTATATTTATAACGATTAACTTTGTTAAAGCAAGGAATGGCCAAAATGAAAAAAATTGAACAAAAACGATTCGGCGCGAAACTACTTATAAATACTTATAAAATTTATTCATAAGATCCATTAATATGAACGACTGAACATGTATTTACTTATTTTTATCATAAAATAATCAGTCAAAAGTTTATTAAAATGCTAGTGGAAGTTACTGTAATTTCTCCGTGTATGAACATGGCGGACGTATTTCTTTGGGTTTGAAATGAATCAGAAAATTTGAACATCGATTTACGCATGCCTAACAAGAAAGCAATCGTCTACTTCACGAAAACTAATCACATACCACTCTAGAGTTTATATGAAATTCAGTAGCGAGAATAGAGGAGCTTCTCCTTTGTCGTAAAGTTACAGGGGCGCCACTATAAGAAATTTTTTTGTTACGAAATATATCAAAAAACAGCATTCACGCCAACAGCAATTTTTGACGTAATTCCTGAACAATTTTAATGAACAAAATCTCATTTTAAAAAGGTTAATTTAAGTGAGGACTTGGCCTTTTCGATTTTTTTTAAAAGCTTTATTTTTTATGCATAAACTATTGTCGAATAAATATCATTTTTTGATAACATTTTATTCAAAAAAAAAAAAAAAAAAAAAATAAAGCTTTTTCAAAAGTTCGGTAAATTCATGTCCTCATTTCAACTTTTATCTTTAAAATGAGACTTCGTTCATCAAAACTGTTCAAGAATTACTTTTATACTCATTGTTAACATAAACCATTATAAAACCAGGAGTAATGAACACAGTCTTATCGAATAATGTTATGTTTAACATATGTGCGTGCGCCCGCGTGCACTTGCGTATGTGTATGTAAGGGTGATAAAGCGGAGATTACATATTCTCGGTTTTGCATGTAATTATACGATATGAAGTAATCATATATATATAACATATATATGTATGACGAAATATCAAAGACGCCGTATGTTTGTCTGTCGACAATCAACCAACAAATTCTTCTCATCGATATTTATTCTAAGCGATTCACCCGAACGAAATAAATGCCAACTGTCGCTTGAAGCGATTAGAAATCATATTTCTTTATGAGAATTTATTTAACAATCTAACGAACAATTAAAATGAGTACGAAACATTTAACCACGGGTAAGTATAAAATAGAATTAAGTTAGAATAATTAGAATTATTGGAGATATGTAATATTTCATAATTTTTTTTAGGATCAGTCGCACCACCTATTGTACCTGGAAAAATACGTTTGTATAGTATGCGTTTTTGTCCATATGCTCAAAGAATACATCTGGTTTTAGATACCAAAAAAATTCCGTATGTATAATTTAATTAAAAAATTTTTAATCACGAATTACATATCTTTTACATATATATTATTTTTTACAGATATGATGTTGTTTATATCAATTTAACCCAAAAACCAGAATGGTTCTTAGAGAAAAATCCTTTTGGAAAAGTTCCTTGTATAGAATTAGAAGGAGGAGAAATATTGTATGAAAGTATTATAATAGCAGAATATCTAGACGAAGCTTATCCACAAAATAAATTGTGCCCATTCAGTCCTTTTGCTAAAGCTAAGGATAAACTATTGATTAAAAGATTTAATGGAGTTATTACCAATATGTACAAGGTTCTTACAGAGTGATTATTTTAATTTTGATTATATATTTTTTTTTCATTGGATGTTTTATTTATTTTAACTATTCTTTTACTACTTTCTTCTAATATTTTATAATCATAACCTTAAAATGCTACTATGGCTGAAATAGATTAGTTTTCCTTTTTATGGATTCTAATTTTATGTGATATTTTTTGCAGCTATATACTGGAACAACAGTAGATCGTGATTTATATAATGAAGCTTTATCTAGTTTGGAATTTTTTGATAGAGAACTTGTCAAAAGAAGAACTCCTTTCTTTGGAGGTACTTCACCTGGCATGTTAGATTTAATGATCTGGCCGTGGTGCGAAAGAGCAGATATTATTCGAATTTTGCGTGGAGATGAATTCATAATATCTCGAGAACGCTTTCTAAGATTGGTAAGCTAAGAGCTAATTTTGTTTGTTATGGAATATCTATATATCAAAAGTATATTTTATATATGTTATAATATTTTGGTATATGTAGTTCGAGTGGAGAAATGCTATGAAAGAGGACCCTGCAGTTAAAGAAAGTTATTTGGATGCTGAAATACATACAAAATATATGCGTAGTCGACTTGCTGGAATACCTCAATACGATTTGCTACTTAATCTTTAACTAAAAATATGTGATAAAGGCCTCTAAAACTTAACTCATTAAAGTTTAAATGAGAACATTATAACTTAATTAATAATTGTTTATACATGTCTACGTACAAATAACTAACTTAAAAATGATAAAAATTTGTTCAATACTATATTGAACTATGATGCTGCATTTATATAATATATAAATAAAAGATTATCAGATTTACAATGCTTAACATAAAGCAATCTTCTTTGATATTTTATTTATAAATTTTTTTTTTAATATGTATGTATATGTATATATATAAATATAAATAACTAAATGTGTATCAATGTTATACAGTGACATAACAAACATCGTTAATTAACTTGCCTAATGTATTTTAATGCTGTTGATCTACTTCTATATTATCGATATTATTTGTATAAAATGTAAAAGTATATTGTAATATATTTATATTTAATTTTTGTTTTGAATAAAAAACAAGTATAGTTCTGTAATACAAAAATGGTAAAATATATCGGTATAGTTATACCGATAATATTTGAAACACATAATACAGTTCCTTATACTGTATGTACAAAATGTTTGGAAACCTCTCTTGTATTAAACATACAATACAAACCATAAATTAAAAAACAGATAAAAATAATGCTAGCTGCAATCATGAAAGATCGCGTATTCTCTTTTCGTAAACTATATAATTTTTGTTCGTTTATTTTAAGAACTGTTTTAACTTCTTCTAATTCATTCTCCAATCTTTCACGATTTTCAATGGTAAGTAACTTAGTTTTCAATCTTTTTTCTATTACTTCTACTCGGTGTAATGATTCCTTTAAAGCATCTTCGACGTGAAGCATCTAAATAATAACAAAAGATAGGTTATGGTAAGTACTAAGTAATTGGAGATACATTTACAAATAATTTATATCAGATACCTTAACCATGACAGTGTCATTCTCAGACATGTTTTGTAATTATATCACCTCTTTTAAATTAGAAATTATCTTTTGAAATATATTTACAATTAATCTTTTTGCTAGTATATAATTGCTGTGTCACGTATAATCATTATACATCTATATATATATATATATATATACATGTACGTATGTGTGTGTGTGTGGTGCATATATATTATCTAACGACTGCGTAGATACAATACATTAACTTCAGTATTGGAAAAAGATCTATAGAGTGCATGTGAAATATTTGGCCAAAAAAGGTCATATTTAATATTTATTCAGTAAAATGTTATTTATCAATTATATAATATTTCATTGATAGTTAAAAAGAATAAAAATAGAACTTTTCATTTATATTTAATATCTATTTACTTAGATAGTGAATAAGAAAGGTAACCAAAAAAAATAAAATGACGCGAGGTGTTGAACTTATTAAAAGTATTGTCGAACGCATATATCAAACAAATGGCTTTGGAAAATGTATGAAGAACGTATGTGTTTTTTTGCTGATGTTTTTTTTTCTTTTGTCATTCTATTCAATTGTACTGTGCATATCTCATAATTCAAGAATGTTAATTAAATTTATACATATATCACGTAGGTGAAAATACTTTCTGCAGGGGATGGCAAATGCAAAGCAGAATTTACAGTTTCTGATGAACATTTAAATTTAGGAGGCTCTTTACATGGAGGTTTTACAGCTACGCTTGTCGATTGTGTTTCCACTTATGCTTTAATGACATATGGGACTAATGCCCCAGGAGTTTCTGTAAACATTAATGTTTCGTAAGAAATTTTACTTTATCTTTATTATTTTATTACAATATTTATATTAATATTGGTGTACATTATCTACATTACCATGCAATCTCAGTTTCATCATTGACTATTATTTTTATACAGTATGTATTCCATTACTGTATATATATTTAGCTTTTCTCATAATAACTTAACATAGAGCACGCAAATTGTGTAATAGGATTTAAAATATTTCTTTCTATTTATAATATATATGTATCTAAATTTTCTTCATTTTACATATGTCAATGGCACAGATATATGAAAGCTGCATTTCCTGGTGAACTGGTCACAATTGATGCTAAAACTATACGTGCTGGACGTACTCTAGCATATCTTGCAGTAGATCTTACAAAAAATAATGGCAAAGATATTATTGCTAATGGCCAGCATATAAAGTTTATCGCATGAAGAAATCTCAAGGATTTTATAGTTATTATGTAATATGTTACATAAAGATACGTATATACATAGATATTTAAACAAAAACATTTACTTATCTCAATAATTAAGATAATTTTCTGATTGATGTATTCATAAAAATATATTAAAATTATTGCGAAGTTTTTAGCGAAATAAAATTAATTGTAAATATAATCCAAAATATCTGCAGACATTTATCAGCATCTGGTATAACTTTCCTTAAAAAAAAAAAAAAAAAAAAAAAAAAAAAAAAAAAAAAAAAAAAAAAAAAAAAAAAAAAAAAAAAAAAAAAAAAAAAAAAAAAAAAAAAAAAAAAAAAAAAAAAAAAAAAAAAAAAAAAAAAAAAAAAAAAAAAAAAAAAAAAAAAAAAAAAAAGAAAGAAAGAAAAAGGGATCTCTGTCCTTTCTCATACTTCTAACACGTATTTGTATTGCCATCTTTACTATATATACAATAAATGCATAGAAATTTGGTGTTGATGAAAAGCATGTGTGAAATTTCAAAGAAATGTGTAGAAAAATACATTTAAAAATTCTCTAACGAATAATATAATATTTATCATGTTATTTTAGCGTTTTGGCATTAGATAATAACGATTTTAATTCGTTTATCCTCTGTGATAAAGCATCTGCATATCTTTGAAGTTTTTCAAATTTCTCTTCGGTCTCCTCGATCATTTTTTCCAAATAATCTATTTTCTTGCTATCTTTGGTGGAAATTACTTGAAATTCTAGATTATTATGCATAGGCGATAAATACTTAGCAGCGTTTCGTCGGAAACGAGATATAATATTACTATCGTCCTCACAATTATCGCAACAATCAGACCACATGCTTAAATCTAAATATGGTATATTGTCACAAGAGATAAACTTGTTATCATTTTCATTTGGTAAAAGAAAAACGTTGGGTTGTACGCGATCAATTTTATCACCATTGTCGCAAAGTATTCTTGCCAAGGTAACTTGTTGTATTTGGGCTAACTGTTCGGGTCGGAAATTAGAGGGATTCTCGTACCAAAATCTATCACCATTTCTAATCCGACGAAATTGTTCTATTAAGAGACATTTAAACAATGGACCGACCTTCGCATCAGGAAGTTGATCCTCGAGAATACCACCAACCCATACATCTATATTACCAGGATGCCCATAGAGTTCTCGAAGTTTTTGTCGGACTTTAGGATCTTTTATATCAACGACTAAATCATCGAAAGTTTCTATGTGCGACATGTTACAGTATTTTCGCCACTCCAAATAACCTGGGATACCATGATCTCGAGAACGTTGAATATTCATAGCAGCCAAATCCAAAGCTACTGCATGAGCTGTACGAAAGAGTTGTTCCGTCAACTCGATATTCAGATTTTGTTCGGGTAATTTGAGTTTCGCTGCTGTAGCATACATCCCTCTTATCAAGGGATCTACACCACCTTCTTCGACTAGTCGCCATGGTGCAAAGAAAGCATCACGTAAAGGTAGAGCACCTTGTGGAATAGGTTGGAAAGATTCGTTTAATCGTTCTAAACGTGGTTGTATCAAAGAGTGACCGAAACGAAGGGCTGCTGTTGCGAAAACATTTGATATACTAGCATCTAAATCAGAATCGTATTTTTTGTAAGGTCCTAAAAGTTCGTCAGTCGTATTACCCAATACTAGTGGTATCCAATATTGGAAGGTAATGTGTTGCATCTCAGCACCCACAATTCGTCTTGATTCTTGATATAGCTTCTCACCGTTCCAATGTGGATTTAATTCACGTAATTGACGAGCTATTCGATTATGTTCTCGTAGCCATATTGTATGCATCGCTAGTAAACCTACTTGTTCGTTAGCACGAATATCACCAGCAACGAAACAATTTATAGAACTCTCTAAAGGATTTCGACGACAGTCGACAAATTGGCCAGAAGCATAAGGAAGTAAAGCTTTGCGACCTGGAAATATTGAACCTTCTCGTAATAATCCATGATCCGTCGTTAGATCTCGAAGATCTCGAGCGAGTTCGTCATCGTAGCCGTAAACTTGGGAAGCATCTAAATAACTAGTAAGTTGATTTAATTGTTCGCGAGGCATTAAGTTACCCCATAATACGCTTGTCTCTCCGGAACCACAAACAGCGCTGCTCCTAACGAAATCAATGCATCTTCTATTACTTATACGAGGATCACCAGGTGGTACTTCCATAGGGAAACAAGGCGCTGCATTTTCACAAGATTTTTTACAATCTATACCATCCCAAGATTCGCTAGATACCGATGGTAAAGCGTGATCAAGATCGTGATCCAGAAATTGGCCCCATTGCATTACCATGTGAGTGATTCTATCATCGGAAGTAATATCATGGGTTGATATCAAGGTAGTCGAAACGAGACGAGCTGCTGGTTTTGGATATCCGTGATAACGACGATCCTTTTGCCATCCTATTGGCATAGAAAAACCATTCTCGTAAATAGGTTGGAGAATCCTTCGAAATCCTGTGTACGATGAACCCCAAGTCGGATGTTTAAGATTGTTACAACTACCATCTATACTACGATACTTGTGATGAAAACATATATTCGTACAATTCTTCCGTTTCCTGTGACCAGTACATCCGGATAATCTTTCGATCTCTAGTACCTATGAATTAATAATATCATCTCTTATTATATCTTTCATGACAATATATGCAATAATACTTAACATCATACCTGTTCGGACGTTAAGATTTCTTCATAATGAAATTCATTGGTCACGTTGGCAGCTGCACCAGAATTCACCATACGTCGAATATTAACCAGTGTTCGTTCGAAAAGCTCTGCTGGCTTAGCTGCAGCACGACCGATCGCATTTGGAAATCGTGTGACTCGAAATGGATCGATTCGTCGAGATGTACCGTCGTTGTTGAACAAATTTTTCAAGGTCTTATTGATGGCTCTATCTATTTCTTCTGAAGCATCCTTGAACGCTCTTATAATGAGCGCGTCTGTCGTTCCTACTTGACGAACACGAACCAGAGCTTGAGCAGTAGCACGACCGTAGTCGTTTACAGCCGAACATTCGTACCTATTTTTGATTAAATTTACGTATATATATATATATATATATATATATATATATATAAAATATATAAAATATATAAAATATACATATATAATATATATATAATATATATATATATATATATATATGTATTCTATATATATATAGTTCAATAGCAAGAGAGCTCTAAATCAAACTGTTACCTTCCAGTATCTTGAGACGTGACGTTGTACAAATAAAGACTACCAGCACGAGAAACACGAGTTCTATCACCTGCGATAGAAGTACCATCTTTTTTCCACTGTATTAATGGTTTCGGTCTACCTTCAGCTCTGCAAGGCACTTCGACTATAGCTCCAGGTTCTGCCTCCATATCATGAGGTTGATAGGTTAGTTTTGGTGGACTGTAGTCACTATTTAGAACATCGAGATCAACACTGGTTTCCGCGTAACCATTGGAATTACTAGCTCGACAAACGTATCTGGCTGCGTCGGATTCTTTTGCGGCTAGAATACGAAGTACGCTTCCATCATCGTCTAGTAATATACGTCCACCAGTAGAAAGAAGTTGATCATTGTTCCACCATTGTATAAGGGGTTTGGGATTACCCTCGGCTTTACATACAAATGAAACATCCGAACCAGCTGTGATTGTCTGTGATTCTGGCAATTGGCTAAATCTTAAAGATGAAGCGATTATCAAAGCTCTGGCTTTTCTTGATTTAGTCGAACCCATGCCGCTACTGGCTATACATTCGTATTCGCCAGTGTCTTCCTCAGTAACATCAGATATGACCAACGTACCATCCTTTTGAACAAAAAACCGTTCATCATCGACATAAAGTTCATTAGAATCTCTCATCCACTTTACTTCCGGCTCAGGATCTCCTGTTACTCGACAAGTAAATGTTACAGTGTCACCGATCTTAACTTCGGTATCTTCCGGACCTTCCATTATACGCGGTTTTGCTGGAAAATAATTTCCATTGTTAGGAATGATAAGGAACTCGATATAATGAGAAAATTCATGAGAAAAGACTATTACTCAACTGCAATGAAAATCACTGCTTGTCATAGTTGTTAAGGGTTTACCCTTCATCTCATTAGGATATTGACATATCGCTGCCATTTCATCAGTTGGTCTTTTCTCAAGTCTTTCCACTAACCAAAGGAGATTACAGTCGCAAACTAGTTCGTTACTATCGAGACGGAGACGTGTCATTGGGCCAACATTTTGGAAGGCATCAGCAGGAAGACGTTGTAACATGTTGTTATGAAGAAAGAGACGTTCCAATGATGGTAAATTGTTGAAAGTACCTTTGCCTATATCCGTTAGACGATTGTAATGCAAATAAAGTTGTTCTAATTTCGGAAGATGAGAGAAAGCATTGGCTGATATATCCTCAATTCGATTCTTATACAAATAGAGAATCCGTAAATTAGGAGCACCCTCGAAAGCATTTGCTGGTATATGTTTGATATGATTATCGTTAAGTAATAGGGTGTGCAAATGCTTCAAACCATGAAACGTTCCAGCTCGTAGTTCTGCTATGTTGTTGAATCTTATGTCCCTGAAAACGAGCAAGGTCATGATCGAATAAAATGATAGAAAGGTGTGCCAGGACAATGTTGAGATCACGATTCATTACGGATCATTTGTTACGAAGACTTGCTTGATAATGACGTTGAATGACTACCGGATTAATCAACGACCTATGACCAACCCAATGGTAATTGCAATGATCAAAAATAATCGAAAATTATTGATAATTTTCAAAGTTATTGCGAAAGAAAGAAATAGTATTTTTAGAAGAACTTTCACGTTTGTGGAAATGTAATATGTAAAACTCTCTTTATGCTGTAACTTTGTATGCGTATACGTATGTCATAACACGTAGATATATAAAAATAAATGATATCTCAATCATTGGAGAGCAATAGCAGGCGATACAAGTATTTACTTTATAATATCGAAACGAGAAAATTGAAGAAGATAACTGATAACCAGGTAGATTATTTATAATAAACATTTAATCGAGTGTTCGGATAAAAT